TTGATCTTGTCTCAGGTCTCGATCTCACAGTCCTGAGTTCAAGCCCCACAGTGGGCTCCGTGCTGGGCATGCAGCCTACTTGAAAAAAAATTCAGCATTCATTCCTGATTAAATTTTAAAAACACTTACCAGTAAGTGGATATTTTCTTCTTATGATTAAAAAAAAAAAAGGATATCTTAAGCCAAAAAAAGGATCAAACGTGAAGGTGAAGAACCAGAAACATTCTCACCACGTCCTCACTGTGGTTACAAGCCGATGTAAGGAGAGAGACGAGCACAAGAGAGGCAGGTCGTGAGGAAGGAGGCAAAGGGGCCGCTGCTGGAAGCCAGTGCCCCCATGTGCGCTGAGCGACGCAGGAAAAGGAACAGGGCTCAGGGCTGCTCCGGGAGAGTCGGAGAACCAGCGGATCTCAGCAGCTTCTCCTCCCAGCTGGGTCGCAATGTCTAGCTCGTTGTGGAAAAAGTACATACAGGAGAATACTCAAGAAAATTCTAAAAAATAAGACAAAGCCAGGGAAAAGTAGCCCTGCCAGGTGTCACAGACGTGGCAAACGGGAGTGTGCTGTGTGAGGCCAGGAAGACCGAGCACGCGCAAGCACGCGGAGAAAGTGGGGAGGGATGGCCGTCCAGGTCCTTGGCAGCGTCCCTGGTCCTGCAGGACTAGCCTCAGGCCCCCTCAGAGCCAGCGCCGCGGCACCAGCAGTCTGCTAGGGACGGCCAGGGGACAGAGTCTGGGTGGCCGAGTGTGCGGTCCCTGGCGCAGTCCCAGTTGTAGCGGTGAGGCGCAGGTGGCCACTTAATGGGATATAAATTAATTACAATGAAACATGGCCAAACAGTTCCTCAGGGCACGAGCCACATCACGGTGTGCCTGATGCACTCAGCACCTTGCCAGCATTTCCCCAGGCTCCCCTGGCCTGGGGCCTGGCCCAGCGTGGCAGGGGCCACCTATGGCCACACAGGAAGGGGCGGCCATGAAGGCGGGGCTGGACACGGACAGGAGCACGTAGGCAGGCTCGGGGCTCAGTCAGGGAAGCAGCAGGTGCACCTGGCCTCAGAACAGCTCCACTGCACCATCCGCCAGACTAAAGACGCCTGAGTTGTCCAAGCACAGCCACTGCCCTGACTAACGCAGCAGGAGAAAGGCTATCCCCTACATGGTGACGGAACAAGAGCACGCACCTCAGAAAGGAAGAGACGGCTCACTCCTTCACTCTTTACCAATTCATGCGCAAATTCACTGTGTTCCAACAAAAGGGCTGGGAGTCACCTGGACAACGGTGCTCATCACAGCAATGGTCAAGACCAGCATTGAGTCCACTGACGCGCAGCCGGACACAGTAATCTACAGGTGCCACCCACGATCCTGCTCAGTAGACATTAGAGTCCAGTAAGTCAGGGGCGCCTGGCTGGCTCAGGTGGTTGAGCGTCTGACCCTTGATTTCGGCTCAGGTCGTGATCTCGGGGTCGTGGGATTGAGCCTCACATCAGGCTCTGCGCTCGGTGGGGAGTCTGCTTGAGAGTCTCTTCCTCTCCTTCCCCCAACTCATTCTCTCTCTCTCTCTCTCTCTCTCTCTCTCTCTGTCTTAAATAAATAAATAAAAAAAATCTTAGAATTCAGTCAACAAACAGTCATGGACATCAAGTATGTACCAGTTCTATGAACCAGATATGAATGCAGTTTCTGCTCTCAAGATAGTTACTTGCTGGTCAGGGAGAAAGATGTACATGACATGATGGGTGGACGGACGGATGGATAGATGCTAGATATGAATGACTGACAGACAGTTAGACAGACAGACGGACAACCCAGAGAAGGCGGTCCACACCAGTGACGCACAGAAGGAGCAGGGTGCCATCTGGATAGGAGGGTCAGGGAAGGAGCCTCTGAGGAGCCATGTGGGCAGCGTGAGCACGGTGAGGAGGTGGCCAGGACACTCAGGGAGGACAGGGGGTTGTGTCTGGGAGGAGCAAGCCGACGCAGAGAAATAGGAGGGCTGCCCCAGGAGGACCTGGCCACAGTCTGAAGTGCTGGGAAGGAGGGACATAACACGACCTGATCTCCGCGTGAAGGATGGGCGTCGTTGCTGTGTGGACGGCACATTCCAGGAGGTGGGGAGTGGATGCCCTGAGCCCAGCCAGGGACCATGGTGGCCGCCTAAGTGACAGGCAGGGAGCCCCCTGCGGCCCCAGAGCTGCCCCTCCTCCCATGGCCCGCTCCTTCCAACCCTTGGGGCCCTGCACTGGCCCTCTGGACCTGTTCAGCCAACAGCCCCGGGGGGAGGCAGGCAGGCGCCCGGCAAGCAGAGTGTGCAGAGTGTGCAGAGTGTGCCTCACGGCCACAGGGAAGGCACCTGCCCCGGCTGACGGTGGGAGAGACAACATCTCAAATCCATCGATTCTGCACATTGGGATGAGCTCTGACAGCAGAGGTGGTTTGTGTTTGTGTGTGGGTTTAATCAACTGCACTGTTAGAGCCTCCCCCAGAACCCGGAGGTGGTGGGCCCTCCGGCCGGGACTTCCACTGCAGAAGCCCTGGGGCGCCCCCACGCCCATTGGAAGGGGAGCCCCCCAAGTCCGCAGGTGCTGGGTTCCTTCCGAAGCTGGCAGAGGGAGGAGGAGAGAGGGACCCCACAGGGTGCAGAGAGCTTTGCCACGGCTCTGAAAAATGTTCTTCTCTGCCCCTGTCCTCCAGAAGGCTCACGATGCTTCTTCCTTCCCCCAGAATCTGCTCCGTGGACAACCCCACCCCATCCCCTGTTGTCCAGCTGGGGCTTTCTTTCAGCCAGTGGGTTAGGGTGACTCTCCCGGTGTCTGTATTCACCTGGAATAATAAGAGATCTCTTCTCTGAATAGCGGAGGCAAGCCCAGTCCCAGCCCGCCCTCTCCCTGTAACCGCAGCGGGATAGAGCCTCTTCTCTTCTCCCCTTGCGACACGCGGCCGCCAGAGGTCGCCGCCGCCACCAGGCCCCAGGCCCGCCTGAGATGCAGCATCAGGAGAACCAGGAAGGCTTGCGGACCGAACCCAGACACTAAACACACCGCATGAGAGGAACTGAGAGAGGATGGGCAGGGGACAGAGCTGCAAGCTGCCCTCGCAGGGTGCACAGAGATGCTGGAGGGGTATTTGGGGGGAAGCAGGTGGAGTCTGAGACGCGCAGTCTCGGGAGGCAGGTAACCAGTGGAAATCACACCATCTCCCAGCTGTGGTTCTCTGGTGGCGGGACTGAGCCCGTGGGCCACGGGCTGCAGGGGGTCCCCCGTGGGGCAGAGGGACGTGGTCCGGATTCCGACCCCAGATCTGGTTGAGCCACATCCAGATTTATCCCGCGGTGACTTCCTGCCACCCCACCCTCGGTGGGCAGAGACAGCCCTGTGCCACACTCCTACAGACAGAGAACACACAGGTGCAACTGGGGGCCTTGCAAGGATGAGAGATGCAGTTTAAGGCAGAAAAGGAGACTCGCACAGCACTTGGTCAGGTCACTAAATTAAATAAAAATTTAAAAAGGAATGTTCCTTGCCGTGTTGCACCTTAAAATGAACTCTTCTCACGGCTCACACAAACCCGTGGGTTTGAACACGTGCTTCACAGAGTAAAATCATAGTAGGGGTTTTAAATCTTGGGAAACAAAAGAATGAACATATAGTAGGACATGCTGGGAGGCCTGGTGGGAGCGGGGGGTGCCAACCCCAAGGCCCACAGCTGTGCGAGCCAGCGCCGGCACCATGGACGACTGACCACTGCCGGAGGTCATCAGACCACCCCGGGGGACACCCTCTGCAGCTGCGCCCAGAGGTGGCAGCAGGGCCTCTCGTGCCAGTGATGGGGCTGGAGCAGGGGAGCCCAGGTGAATCAGAGGACTGCGCCCAGGACACCCAGAGGAGCCGTGGCCACTCCTCTGCCCACAGCACATGTCTCATGTGCAGAATGAACCAGCAAGATCACTCTAGAGGGAAGCTCAGAACCCAACCCCACTGTGTCTCACAGTCCCCCAACCCCACAGGGGCCCCTTCAGTCTCTGAAATCTGCTGAGGTTCTGCTTAGTCCCCCAAACCCACCAGGGTCCCCTGTAATCCCCCTAAATAAACAAGAGGGGAAAGAGAACTCAGGTTATCAGAAACTACACAGAAAAAAGACATAAAAGTACTGTTACTGTCCTGGGGCACTGGCTGGCTCAGTAGGTCGAACATCTGCCTTCGGCTCAGGTCATGATCCCAGGGTCCATTGGGATCGGGCCCCGCATCAGGCTCCCTGCTTAGTGGGGACTCTGCTTTTCCCTCTCCCACTCCCCTGCTTGTGTTCCCTCTCTCGCTGTGACTCTCTTGAATAAATAAATAAAATCTTAAAAAAAAAAAAAGTACTATACCTGTCCTGACAGACAGACAAAGACACTTCCTGTGCTTTCATGGATCCAGCGCAGAACGCAACGGAGGAGGGAGGCGGAGAGGGGCTCAGGAAACACATGTGGGGTGTGTGCCGTGTGAGTGTGTTGTTTGTATTATGTGTGTCTGTTCTGTGGTGTGTGTTTAGTATGTGCTGTGTGTCTGTGTGTGTGCGGTGCCTCCGAGGGACAGCCGTGCAGCAAACCCTCAGCCCAGGTCCCGGCAGGTGGGCAGGTGGGAACTGCGCCAGAGGGGACCCGGTATTTCCCGATCCCAGGCGCGTGAGTGACAAGGCGGCGAGGGGAGGCAGCGTGAGGGGGGCAGGGGCTGGAGGGGGCCCCCCGCAGAACCCCTCCTGCTCCTCTTTGCCAAGACAGCGCGTGGGCCTCTGCTTCGCTGATCCACCAGCAGCTTTTCGGAGACATGCATCGATCCTGAAGACCTGAGCCCACAGCCTGGGAAAGCTCTGGGACTTCGAAACACAGAACCAAGGGCTTGAGAACGGTATCCCCACAGCACCTGTCTCTCCTTGTGAGACCACCTGGTTTGTCGCGAGGAAGAAGGACATCAGGGGGCTCTGCTGGAAACAGGTTTCTTTATTAAGGCATGTGGACTCTGCAAACCTCAGTAATAAATGCAGGGGTGAGAGCAAATCACCAACATAAACAGAGCTCCAGAAGACGCATCAATAAATATATTATCTCACCTGAACAGCGGGTATAAATACATGTTTCCACAGATTTCCAGGAGCTCGACGTGAACCTGCGCAAGCTCCCGCAGAGAAAGCTATGCTAAGAATAATCACAGTAACTCCTCGTAGGCTGTGGGAGGGCACTCTTCCTGGGCGCTGTTTTCACCTCTGCTGCGACATGAGCTCCCCTGGGGCGGGCAGAGATTGGAAACCAGCCCACTCCCCTTCTCCCGTGCTCGCGCACCTGACCGGGCCTGGAACCCCCCCATGTCATCCGGAGAAATTCTGAAAGATGTTGGCGGCCTGCACCCAGTTCTGGAAGCAGGCCAGACCCCGCTCGCGGACCTGCTTCCGCCCTTTGTCGGTGATGACCTCCCCGCTCGGTTTCACAACCACCAGCCTGGGGGTGACCGAGATGTGGTACCTGGTCCTCAGCTCGCTGCAGGAGAGAAGAGGGAGGGGAGGGCCAGGTCAGCAGGGGGCCGGGCGGACTGCCACGTGCACGTCTGAGGGGACCAGGGCCTCCCTGGGCCGGCAGAGCCGGTGTGCCCTCCCCCACGCTGGCCCCCCTGCTCTCCCTGCGGCGGGCCTGTCCAAGCCAGCGCCGTCCCAGAGGAGCGTCCGCAGGGAGGGAGCGGCTCTGGACCTGCGCTGCCCATACCAACAGCTGCGTGGGACCCTGGAGCACCCGAAAGGTGCTGCAGGCCTGAGAGAACAAATTTTTCATCTCAGCTAATTTAAATTTAAGTAGCCACATACTGGACAGTGCAATTTTAAACCCACAGATCCCCCTCAATAAATTTATATCCCTCCTACATTCAAGAAGCAGAAAAACATCAGGTCCACACAGCGGTCCAAGTGAGCACTCCATGGGTTCTAGACCAATGCAAAGCCGTGTGAGACTTTTCTGCCCAGCAAACTCAAGGACAGGCTGATCAACATGATGACACGTTTCTTGGCTATGTTTCCTGTCAGGTGCAACCCTGTGAGAGACCTTTTTACAAAACTATTTGTGCTCATTTAGGGGAAGGAGCGCCCACCTTCTTGGTTTCTCCCTGTAACCGTCCCCGGGATTACTGTCCTCAGGGCAGCTGATGAAAATCCGCCCCCCCATTTCCAAGGCCAGCCTGCTCGGGTCTCCCATAAACAGTAACCTGATTTCCCTCATCTTCACCCTCAGGACCGTGGGTCTGCGTGGAAGGAAAAATGTACCTGAGACCCTCCTGTTACCACATTTCCTGGTGACACCTCCACCACAGCCTTCCTGCTGCTTTTGGGGAACCCAGATCAAACATACACGCATAAATCAAGCAGGAAAAAATATATTCCACCTCCACCCAACAAAGAGAGATGACCTTGTTTTCAAACATCTGTGAGACAGTGACAAAGCCAGCATGCTCTCAGCCACACAGGGATCTTAATGCATTTCAAATAATCAGGGGCGCCTGGGGGGCTCAGTCGGTGAAGCGTCTGCCTTCGGCTCAGGTCATGATCTCGGGGTCCTGGGATCGAGTCCCACATCGGGCTCCCTGCTCAGCAGGAAGCCTGCTTCTCCCTCTGCCTCTGCCCCTCCACCTGCTCGTGCTCGCTCTCTCTCAAATACATCAATAAATCTTTAAAAAATAAATAAATTTCAAATAATCAATAGCACACAGACCACTTAACCAGACCATAACATAATGGAAATTGGTAACCAATACGAAATAATTTTTGGAATGAGTTCAAAAACTAAATATCCATATGTTACCCATAAAACAGCAACTCAGACTACAACCTAATTAGAAGAGAACGATGCAGAATACACTCCAGATCCCCAGCTGCAGACACCACTAGACACAGGAAGTTGTGGTCTTAAACACACTTTTCTGAACAACAGGCCCCCGTGTAGACAAGCCATGGGTTTGATCCGAGAAGCGCGCACAGCGCCGATGAGCAGACACTGGGAAAGGCACACTGAACACAGAAGTCACGGACAGACAAACCGGACCTGGCCCCAGGGAAGACGCACAGAGCAGGGCCCTGACTGCCCGAGGGAGAAAGGAAGACACGGGAACATCGGGAGTCAGGCAGTGGCCAGTCCCGGCCCGCGGTGGACTCTGCCCTGCTCGTGGACGCCAGTGCCCAAAGGACCCCCGCACTGGGCTGGCTGCCCCTCCAGCAGCTTCTAGAAGCCGGTCTGCACGGCGTCCCCTAGTTACTCACCTGAGGAGACACGAACGTCTGAGAGAAACAAGTCAGCTATTATATAAACGTGATCGTTACCGAAACAGATACCAGGGCTGACAAACCCAAAGCACGGTCATGGAGAGACGCCAACCTGGGGACCAAAGCGGGCCTCACTCACGAGCCTGCAGGTCTGGCAACTCGGGGGGGTGCGGGGTGTGACCCAGGTGACTGGGGGGAGACATCCTCCCCAGTGTTTTCAGAATCCTGCACAACCCCAGAAATTGGAAATGCCTGAGAAATTAGCTTTCCCCCAAAGCATAAAACAAACACGAAGAAAAGAGGAACCACCCAGTAGCCCTTGGTGTAACGGCTGCAGGAAATGGCGGTGGCCCGCGAGAGGCTCTGTCCGGCAGCCGGGGCAGATAGGTGCTGTCTGGGCCTCTGTTGTGGGCAGCATGGCGGGGCATGCAGCACGAACCATGTCACCAATGGTCCCGCTGGGGCTTACGCCCAAGGCCAGGCGGAGGCCCTGGGGGGTCCTGGAGGGTGATGAGGGGATCCCTTGGCGGAGCCCACACACATTCCTGACTCTGCATCCACATCCCTGCCAGGCTCCCCGTGTGGTGGCTGCTGCTGGTCCAGGCCCCACCGTGGAGCAGCTCATCTGCAGGAGCGGTGCTCTAGGCATGGGGTCCCCAGACCAGCAGTAGCCGCCCCACCAGGGAGAGTCTCCTGCCCCTGCTGGTGGGGGTGGAGCCCCCAGTCCCCCAGGGCCGCCTGCCTCCCCCGCCCTCCGCTGTCCCGGGACCCCAAGGCGGGAAGCTGAGAACCATGCCCTTGACAGTCTGGGTGGTAGAGCCTGCGGCTTGCTGCCCAGCATCCACAGCCCTGCACTTTCTGGCATGAACTAGCTGAGGGACTTGGGCAAGCTAGCCAACCTCCCTGTACCCCAGAGTCCTCACCTACACGGTGGGAAAAACAGAACCCACCTCCATGGGTTGCTGGGAGGATGAGATGGTGAATAGACATACAGCACAGCCAAGGGATGGGCACATAAATGCTCAAAAACCACTGGCTGTTACTGATGGGGAGCCCACCCCCCAAGTCCAGCTGGGCTAACTGTCCAATGCAGCAGTCCACGCTGATGGGTACCCGGCAGACGCAGAACCCGTGAGACTCCGCAGAGCGCTTGGGTGTGTGCTAGGAAAGAGGAAGGCGTGAGGATGTGCAGCCTGAGACGCAGCAGCCCCTCTGCCACCTTGAGGGGAGACTGGATTTGCCAGGTGGCCACGGGCTGCAGCCTGAGCACGGAGCACGCATGGCGGAAAGCGGAGGAAACTGTCCTCTCTGGCCTCCCCCGCTCCCTCGAGACCAGCTCCTGGCTGCAGGGTGTTTAAGTTAAGCCAATCAACAACCTTCACAGTTTAAGCTTTGGGCCGTTGCTGTTGTTCTCCTCCCTCGAAACATAAAATCAGCTCTGACACCGTCAGGGGGGCGCAAGGCAAGCCAGCCGGGCTTAGGGGAGTGAGGTGGAGTCTGGAGTAGACATTTGCTCCAGAATGTCTTCAGAGTCAGCTGTGTGGGCCCTCCAATCCCCGCCCAGGCAACCTCTGCCTGGGGACAGCCGTCACCTTGGAGCCACCCAGCCGAGAGGCTCATAAGCATCTGCACCTGCTGCAGGCGCTATGTCCCCAGGGAACAGGCTGTGCCTGGGAAAGGAGAGCCCTGTGGCCGCGCACATCCCGGGTGTGAGAACTCTGGGCGTTGTGGCTGTCTGGGGGGATCCGAGTTCCTCCCTGCCCTGGGCATGGGGCGCTGTGGCAATCCTGGATCCCTCCCTCCACCAAACACAGCGCGTCCTCCTTCCCGGCACAAGCCCTTCTGGGTTGCCATGGCAACTCTGGTACCGGCCTCTTCCCATCCTGGCAACCGGCAGACGGTTGGCCCTGCCCCCACGCAAGATGCAGCCCGCAGACAGCAAGCAGGGAACCGTGTCTGCTCCAACCTTCAAGACTGCAGAGACGCTCCTCACACGGGGTGGCATCCCCAGGGGCACGGGGGAGGAGTCGGGGCTGCCAGGCGGGGAAGGGGGCCTCCAGGGTTTGGAGGTGGGAAAGATACGGGGTAGTCTGGAACACCAACTGCCCTGTCTGGCCGGAACACGGGTGCGAAGGGGGTAACAGGGGGTGAGTGTGGGCAGACAAGACATGGGCTGAGCCCCGGAAAGCTGGGTTATCCCCGGTGGGACCAGACTGCCTTTGACGAGAGGAGGTGGGTTCCAGAACAAGAGTCCATCAGATGTGGACACTGAGGCGGGGGGGTGGGAGGGAGAATGAGTGAGAACATGCCAATGGTCCAGGGCCTAAGGAAGGAAGTAGCAAAGCGGAGAAACCCAGACTCGGCAGAATCCGTGCCGGACAGGGATGTGCTGAGTCAGGAGGCCGGGGAGCTGGAACACAGGGCTGGGGAGAGGGCAGGCAGGGAGCACGGGCCTGTCGAGATGCTCAGCCCCACCAAGTGGACAGCTCTAATGGAGCCACTCTCCACCCGAGAAACGAAGCCACGGCCAGCTCTCTTCTCCATCCAACCCAAACCTGTCAGCCTGGCGTGTGAGGCATCCATCCGCCTGGTCCATGGTGGGGGCAGTCGGAGCAGAGGGCACTGGAGGCGGGGAGGGTCCCAGAGGTTCCAGAGCCCAAGTGGGCCCCAGTGTTGTTAAGAAACAATCATAAAGTCCAGGAAAATCACGATGGAGTGGGTCTTGCGTGTGACAGCAGGGGACAGGAATTCCTCCAGGCAGAAGCAGAAGCTGATGCTTGGGCGCTGGGCCCATAACAAAGGGCATTAAGATGGGCAGGACACCTCGTCCTCGGTGCTGTCCCCACACTCAGGCTGCTCACCCACCTGCACACAAGCACCAGCCTCAGGGACATCAGTAAGCAATGTGTGCCCAGGCAGAAGGGCTGTGGTCGCCCGCCAGCCATCCGGCCGCCAGCCATGCCCAGGGCACCCCCATTGGGGGCTCTCTGCTGAATTCCCCTCCTCATCCTGGGACTCAGTGGGTCAGCAGTCATCAGCGGGTGGACCCTGAGGGAAGAAAGCCCAGGGTCCCTGACCATGACCGACCTAGCGGGGCCCAGGTGACTCCTGTCCTGGCCCCATCCCTCCAGGGCACCACGCAGAGCGACGAGTTCCACACACTTCCGGAAACTTCCCCAAAGGCCGCCCGCAGGCATCCCACATCCCTCAGTGCTCCGTGCTGGTGGCTATTTCCATGTGGGTTCGTGATCTGATTCCATGTATCCAGGCTGCAACGAGCAGAGCTTAGGGCGTAGCTCCAAATATTCCCACAGAATAGCCCATTTCCTACCATAGAAATTGCAAGGAGAGCTCACGAGGTCCCTTCTGGAGAGCAGAAGGGCGAGGAGCTAACCTAACGGAAGGAACACGACAGCTGGCTTCTTCTGCAAACCAGGCTGGCCGCCCGGGCCCTGCCCTGCTCAGCCGCAGGCAGCGGACCTCAAGGGCTGTGACCGCACCCCAGGAGAACCAGAAGGAGCTGGGCCAGGCCCTCCTGGCGTGAGGCCGAGCAGAGGGGCTGAGGCTCGCGGTCCCCCGGGTCCCCTGAGAGCAGGAGAAGAAGAGAACTGCCAGGGCAGAGTCAGGTTCCAGAGCCCGGAGCACTGGCCTCCTCGGTGCCTCAGCGACACATCTGTGAAATGGGGCAACCACCACCACCGCAGCTCCAAACTCACGAAGCGGGGCAGCCCACATACGACACAGGAACACCCTGACCCTGGGCAGTGAATGCCTCGCCTACATCACCGCACGAGACACCCCAGAGCTGGGCTCGGCCCAGACCCCAGCTCTGCCTGATTACCCACACGGTCACCCTGTCACTTTCAAAACTGAGTGTGTTTGTTCAAAAAGCTGCCCACAACCTGAGTGCTAAGCGAATCAGAGGCACTAGAGACCCCGATAATGAAGCCTTTGCTGAGCAAATCCCTGAGATTCATCCTCACTAAATTGCCTCTCAGGCTTATTTTCACCATCGCGTAGACCTGTCATCAGTAAGACTTTCCCGGGGGCCCACCTGGAAGGCCTGAGGCTCACCTCCTCAGCATCAGCCACCCCGTGTGTTAAGGCGGAGGGGAGGGGAGGGGAGGGGAGGGGTTACAGCACTGAATAACTGCCCCCTGAGAAGAGAAGCATGCCCCCAGAAAGCACACCCAGAAACTCATTCCACATCTGTTACAGGGGTGCTGGGGTAACACAGTTGTGAGGAGCAACGTACACCCAGGTCTGGGGCCTGTCACCACAGCACAGACCCCAGAGGACAATCAGTGCCCTGCCCACTCCAGCCGGCCAGCCCTGCCAATCCTCACCTGCTCCCTCTCGTCTGGGGGGATCTTAGTGCTCCGAGCTGCTGGCTACTTTCCATGTGGGTTGGCGATCCCTCCCCCCCCCCCCCCCCCCCCCCCCCCCCCCCCCCCCCCCCCCCCCCCCTCCCCCCCCCCCCCCCCCCCCCCTCCCCC